TCCCGGGGTAGGACAGTCAAAATGTTTAGTGCCATAGGCACCAGATACATGCACAAGGGACCCCGATAGGCAGCGTGTGTCAGGGAAAAGGGAGACAGGTGTGGGCATGCACATGCGTGTTACTGGCCACGAGTTTGTGGACTTGGAGGCAAAATTTTTGTTTTGGTTCCTAGGGTAAATTTTCCATTCAACATTTTCCTCTTCTGTTTAGTTCTAGTTTTTTTTTTATTACAAAACTTTGAATAGAAAAAGTGCAGTGCAACACCTTTGAACGGACTGAGAGGCCAGCAGCGACAGCAGATGGATCCGGTGGCCAACAGCTGTGCGCGGAACCCCCACCCCCCAGCCCCGGTCTGGGGCTGCCTCCGAAACACCCACTCGGAAGGTAGCAGCGCTTCAGGGCTGTCCCATTATCCACCAACCCCGTTTTCCTTCCACCAAAAATCAGATTTCCCAGCGACAGCAGCATACCCCGACTTCTCTGCTTCCTGCCTGGCCGCTACTCCACACAGCCTGCCCCGGGCCGAGCGCATCTTCAATGAGCAACATCCTGCCTTCCCACAGACCCCTGACTGGCACTTCCCCATCTCTGAAGCTGGGCAAAGGCTCAACCCAGGCCCAGCTGGGAGCGCCAGAGAGATGGGGGCCGGCAGCCCAGGCCTGGTGGAGGGCACGGGAGGATCCGGCGAGGACTACATGGTACTTGGGAGCACTGCCAGTGAGCCGGAGAAGAAATCCTCGAGAAGGAAAAAAGAACGATCAGGTAGGTGGTGAGAAGGACTTACCCATTCCTTTACTGTGCCTCCCTGGGCAAGCTGTTTGCCCTCTCAGAGCCTAGGGGCCCTTACTCTCTAAACGTCAAAAAGCGTTGTCTAACTTTCTGAAGTATAGGAGAAGGATTATATTGTAGGAGTTCTAGAATTCTCTGGTAATAAGGATGGTCTTTTTCTCCTCCGGTATTTCTGGGTCTCTGCAGAGAATGTGTGCGAGAAAACGGCATATGGGATCAGGGAGGATTTGGAGGAAACATGGGATGGAGCTAGGCTGCCTCTGACTCGCCACGACCAGACTCTAGTAGCTTCCAAATGGTCCCAGAGCCATAACTGAAGTTTATCATTCAGCCAGGACTGAGGCTTGGGGGTTAGGACTGAGGCTGGGTCTGGGTGTCCACTGAGACCCAGGTCCCTATATCAGGAGCCCAGAGGCAGAGGAGCAACACAGGTCTGTGTCGGGGATGGAAGAGATGAGGGGGAGAGTGTGTGTGGTTTGGGGCAAACTGCCCAGAGGGATCACCACAGAGGTGGTGCCTACACCTAGCAGACAGCTCACCTTGACAAGGTCTGGTGAGGCCTCAGCGAAGTCTGTGCTGCAAGGAGTTCTCTTTGGGGACCACATCAGCCTTGGGAAAATCAGAGAGGCAGGTGGAGGCAAGTGTCAAGGCCAGCCATGGCAGGGAGTATTGAAGAAGATGGCTTCTGAGGGCTGACACCCCAGAGGTGGGAGATGAAGCCTTTCTCTCCTCCCTAGGTTCTCATCTTCCCATAAAGACCACCCACCCCCTAGTCACCTTTTGTCTGGTCCCCTGCCTCCTCTCCCACCTTTCCCAGAAAGCACACAGCCCGTCCCCAACACTCTTCTACCCCTGATGGGGAATGCCCCGTGATTTGACCGCACAAAGAAACACTCTGGGCCTCATCAGATCAGGGAGGCACAAAGGAGAACTTGCTGGGTTTCCCTTCGTAAGCCCCTGGGCCTAGTGGACATATCTGGAGTATCCACCTTTTGCCTGACCACTAGCTCCTAGAAAATACTTCTTGTCTCTGGAGAGCTCAAGCTGAGAGGAAGGGGAGGCTGTGCTCTGAGGGGATGGGGAGGGGAGCGTGAAGGAAGGAAGTTCCAAGCGGTGGGAGCTATGGGTAGTAGTTTTTCGGTTTTGGTTTTGCTAGTTTGTTTTTGAGTCCCACAAGTTTGCAAAATGGGGACTGCAGGTTTTGTTGGCATCTCCACTCCACACTGTGAAAAGGGAGACAGAGTTTGGTGGCACAAGACCTATATCCCCAGGACTCAGCAGACTGAGGCAGGAAGATCTTAAAGTCCAGGTCAACCTAGACCTTTCTGTTTCGGAGGTGAAAGCCTCTCGTCTGGGAAATCAGACAAGCCAGATTTGGTCGTCTAAGAAGTGAATCGAGTTCCTGGGCTCTAAACTCCAAACTGCACACCTTCGGGAGATTTCTTGCCCAGCCCTCACATGGTTTCTGCTCCCGAGGCTTGAAGCTCCTTCTGGATGTCCTGACAGTGGGTGGGGATGACCAGAGCTCATCCTCGTGCCTAAGGAGAGGGGATCCTTTAGAACCCCAGTGGCTAAACCTAGCAGGTGGGATCAACCATTCTGACTCCCTCGGCTGAGGTCCATCTTTTGGACAGAGCTGCCAGTCAACCTAGGGCTACAGCCTCGCCTGGGTAGCGCCGGCCACTCTTCCTCCTCCGGGTCTGTTGGCATCTTACAGCATCCAGCCTCTTTCCAGTAGACTGAGGGCCAAGGGTGTGGGGAAAGGAGCTGGGATATTTCCGGGCTCCATCGAAGTCTCAGCAAAACCCCGTGGACCATCTTCCCCTCTGGCAGGAAGCCAATAGCAGGGCTTTAGAGAGTGAGCATGCGCATGGCTCACCGGAAAGTCAGCCTCTGACCTGGAAAGATCGCCATTCGTGGGGGGCTCTGGGTCCTCTCACTTGGGGCTCTTCCAGAACAGCAGTGGAAACAGACAGCAGGAGTGAGCTGACTCTCCCTCCATCCTATGTGGCTGGTCAGCGGGGAAATCTTTATTGCCCAGGTGCTTGTGTCTGCCGCTGGAATTTAACTGCAGAGGAAGGAGGAGGCAGAAGGGTCAGCTTCCTAAGGGCCTCATGGGGGGGGGTAGAGGGGGGGTGGGGGGTTGGGAGGTGGAGGGTGGGGGTGGGGGTGTCACAGGAAAGGCTCATAACTGCCTGCAGAACCTGGAAATTTCAAAAGAGACAAACCCACAGAAAAGCCCCCAGTTACCCCAGGATCTGAAGTCATCCCAGATCCTCTAATTAATGCTTTTTGTTGTTCGTCATAGATTACGGTACCAGGCCTGGGGACACAACCTAGAGCCTGGTCCGTGTCTGGCATGGGTTCTGCCGCTGAGCCACATATCCAGATATTTAATTTGGATTCTTGTTGGTTTTGTTTTGTTTATTTGAGACAGGGTCTCCAGTAGGCCAGGTTGGCCTCAAACTCATTATGTACCCAGGCTAGCCCTGAACTTCTTGACGCTTCTGTCTCTACTTCCCAATGTACTCAAACATTCTTTATCTTAATTGTTGGGGTTCTGGGTGCCCCATTCAAGTCCCCATGAGCCAGTCCAGGGAAGTTGGCTAGCCTTGACCATTGTGCTTCATCGTCAGACAGCTGGAAGGGTAGGGTCATTGCAACTTCAGCCAAGCTGTTAACTTCTTGCAGCCTCTACTTCCGGAGCTGAGAAATGGGACTGTAACAATGTTACTTAACACCTAGAGCAGCTAGGAAGGTTAAGTGCAGTGATCTGAAAAATTCACATTGCTTCTGGTGCATAATGAAAGCCCCATGGCCGCTGTGCCTGGTATCAAGTCCATATTTCCTGAATTTAAGCCTTTAGAACAATGGTTCTCAACCTGTGGGTCGCGACTACGTTGGGGTGTCAACAACCCTTTTCTTCGGAAAACACAGAGATTTACATCACAATTCTTAATAGTAACAAAATTACAGTTAGGAAATAGCAATGAAAATAATTTTAGGGTTGGGGGGTCACCACGACATGAGGAACTGTATTAAGGAGTGACAGCATTAGGAAGGTTGAGAGCCACTGCTTTAGAATACAGGGTTGGGGGGAGGGGATGAGGTGGGGGGAAGGGAAAGGGGGGGAGCTCAGTGGGTAGAGTACAGGAGCATGCCTGAATGTTTGATCCTCAATACCTCCATAAATAAGATGTCATCGTGAATGCCTGGTATCCCACCGCCTAGGAGGAGGAGGCAGGAGATTCCTGGGTTGGTGGGACATATGAATTTCTTGCAATCTTTTAGTTCTAAACTCCGGTAGTCATCAGCGCTTCAGTTAGAGCTGTGGCGGTAAGGGTAAGGTCGGGTGTTAAATTGTGTCTCACACTCGCTGGCCCAGGAGGCTCCAGACAGGGACTCTGCGCCTTTCTCCATCACCAGCACCTCCCCCCTCTTCCTTCTCCCCTCGGAAGCGGAGGCTGACTCCGTAGAAGACGACCAGGAAAGCCACGTGCCCCTCCCCCACCCTAAGATGTCTCGAGAGACCCGCAGTGCAGTCTTATCTTTCTTACCCCCAGCCCTGGCCTGGGGTGCTAAAGATCTCTACTGGCAGGGACAGCTGCGAAGCCACTGCTGTTTTCCCCTAAACTGTCAGGATTCTACTGTAATCGTCTTTAATTTATGGGAATGAGGGATTTCTTGGTGACTTCCTGACGGGGTTCAAGGGAAGGTTGCATGTGACCAGAGAGGCTGCCTCTCTGCCTGCTGCCTGGGAGCAGCACTAGGCGCCCTGAGTCCAAGTGCCACAGGCAGTGCCTGTGTTAGCCTCAGCACCTCAGCTTCCTTCAGCGCCTGGTCCTGCAGCTCCTGCCTGCCTGCCCCCTCCAACCTTCATTATTCTGTCTCTGTCTCTGTCTCTGTCTCTGTCTCTGTCTCTGTCTCTGTCTCTGTCTCTCTCTGTCTCTCTCTGTCTCTGTCTCTCTCTCTCTCTCTCTCTCTCTCTCTCTCTCTCTCTCTCTCTCTCCTCTCTCTGTTCCCTCCTCTTTCCTCCTCTGTCTTCTTTCTCCCTTACCCCCTCCCCTCTCCTCCTCTTCTTCCTCCTCCTCCTCCTCCTCCTCCCTTCCTACAGAGCCACACCTTGTGCTGGCCTCACCATGTATCCTCCCTGACTTGGCTCTTTTGCCCTGATGTTTCCCGTCCCCCAGTTTGCATATTTTAATGCCCAGCTCAAAAGCAAGCCTCTTTGATCATGTTTTCTCCCTGTTTAAAACCCGTGCCTGTGACTGTATACACAGCATCGTATCAGTGACTATGATAACAATCAATATCATAGTCAGGAAGCTTCAACTTTGCCGAGCTTGGTGGCCACACCTGAAATTCCAACGGGCTTGGGATAGGAGGATGGCAAAGTTGAGGCTAGCCTGAGCTACACAGAGAGAGCGAGAGAGCTGTCTCAAAACAAACAGGGAAGCTTTAGATTGTAATGTGGTTTAGAACCTGAGCCTATTTCCCAGCTGTTGCTTGCAACTTTGTAAGAAGACTTGACTGAGATTTCTTAACATTGACAGTGTTTTGAAAGTCTTTTTAATTCTTGTGCCCAAAACACAACAGAAAATTTTGCATCTTTATGATTTTGAAATGACCTTTTACAGCAGCCAACCACAGATCCACTATTGTAGGACTGATTTCCAGAATTGTTTCATCTTGCAAAATGAAGCTTCTCTTTGATCAGATCCCCCAAACTCCTGGCCACTGCCCGCCTCCCAGTAAGAATTTGGAAGTTATAGGTACCTCATACATGAACTCAGGAAGCAATTGTCTTTTTTGTTACTGTCTTACTCCACTCTGAGGCTGGGACTCCTATGAGGTCCTTACTTCCTGAAGTGGTCAGTCTTCAAGGTTTCGTTGACACTGTAGCACATGCCCGGGTTTCTTCCTTTTAAGACTGAGTAGTATTCCGTTGTATGTTTTTGCCACAACTCCCTACC